AGGGCATGGCACCCAAGAGGTTAAGTCTCTGGGTGGGGGAAGGATATGGCAGGCAAGGGGTTAAAAGCACGTGTGTGGTGGGGGGCTCAAGGCTGAGGGAAATGGCAGCCAAGGAGTTAAGTGGGAGGTGAGCAGGACGACATAGTACTCAAGGGGTTAAAAGCCTCTGGGGGGGGCAAGGGGTTAAAAGCTTGGGAGGGGACTAAAGGCTGAGAGGGAATGGCACACAAGGGGTTAAAAGCAGGGGGGCTCAAGGCCAAGAGGGGCACAGGGACATACACAAAGGGTTAAAAGCATTAGGATCTTCAAGGTTAAAGGAGTAGTGGGCTGGAGGGAGGGTGGGCAGACAACAGAGCGCACCCCCAAGGGTTAATGGGTTGGGGAGGGTGGGATCTGAAGGATTAATAGGTGAGGGGGGCAGGGAGGGAAGAGGTTAATGGGGAGGAGAGGCCATGGGGCAGGGCAGGGGGGCCTTCATCAAGCTGAGAAGGCCAGGGGAAGGGGAGGCAGCAAGGGAGGAGTTGGTAGGTGCCAAGGTGATGGCACAAAGGGGGTTGGGGCCGTCACAGTGTTGGGGAAGCTAAGAGGTTAATACACGTGGCCCCACCTCCTGCCCCCACCCCTGGGAAGGGGGCAAAAGAGAGATTCAGTTGGTGCCTGAAGTGAGATCCTGTTGCCATAGGGCTGAGGTGGGCAGAGGGAGGAGGAGGAGGAGGGGGGGGGGCCTGGGCACCAAAGGGTTAACGAGCTATGTGGCTCCTTAAGTTGAAGTGGGAGGCTGGAGGACACAAAGAGTTACCTTAAAGGGGCCATGCATGCATGTGGGGCTTGGGAAGAAGCTGGAGGAAGGAGGCAGCATAAGTCAAACAAGTGTTGCCTGGCTGGCAGGGTCCAGGCCAGGCAGGGAACTTCCCTTTTAAAACCCTGCCTTTTTTTTTTATTATTATTATTATTATTAACCAGTACAGATTTAGAATAAGCCCTGCCTTCCCTTAGCAGGGCTTCTTATTTTTCTCCCTTGGCTTGCTCCTCTCTAGGGAGAGTCACGTCCCTTCTCCCCTCCTGCTCTCTCTTTCCTGCCCCCTCCCTTTTTTCTGTAAGGAAAGCAGCGTCCATTCCTCCCTTTAAAATATTTCACCCACATTATGGCAGTGTACATGCACAACAACCTGGCCCGGATCCAAACTAAGCTGCCGCCACAACTTTGACCCTCCGTATGGCTAGGAGCCAATAAACCCGGCCCAGTTTCAGACTTTGCTAATGCAGGACTTGCTCCCTCCTATAAAGATGGACCTCTGTAAGGGCTGGCTCATTCTGAAGAAGACATGTCCTTCTCCCATCCCCCAAGCTGAGTTATAGGTGTTCCTGGGATCCAGGAAAAGGATTTTTTTTTTTTTGGTGAGGAGTGACAACTAGACCAGAACCTGTTAGGCTTGGTGCTTCTATTTACAGAGGAAAAGCGGTCCCTTCCTGAGCAGATTTCTCCATACTATAAGGGAGGCCCATAAATAGCTCTGTGGTCCTTTAAATTGTCACAAAAGTGACTGCCCCCATGATTTGGTTCATAATCTGCATGCCTGTAGCAACCTAAAATAAGTGTCTTCTCAGCTTCTGTAGTTCCCACATGCAGGAAAGTTGTGTTTTTTTGGCCAAATCTTCAAGGGCTGGGGATGAGAATAAATAACCCCTCACTTCTCTTGACTCTCAGAGGAAACGGCATGAGGCAGCAGGCAGTATTTTACTGGCCTAGCCTGACTGCAAGGTTGGATCGAATCTGAGGCACAAGTCAGGTCAAAACATGTCCTGGTGGTGAGTTGTATAAAGCCAACCAGTATGAAGGTAGCAGCTGCTGTAGTGCAGGGAAAGGTGTGATGAAGTTTCAGCATATCACATGTTCCTGTTAGAGCTTTTTTTTTTTTTTTAAGGAAATAGAACATACACACACACGCACCACGTGTACAAGCCTATGAGTCACACAGACATAAGAGCTTTTTCAGACTGTGAAGGCTGGCACTCAAGTTCCTCTCTCTGACTGCAGATGTCTAACCAATACCTGAGGCTATGTCCATTCTGGGTTTCTGTATGTGGGCAAAACAGAGGTGAATGAGGCAACAGATTCACTGGTGTCCCCATTTGAGGCTGTTTAAAGCTCAGTATAATTGGTTTCCTGGCTGGTATTGTCTATATAAATGGATTCCAAGAGCTGGATGAAGACTAAGGGTGAGATTGTCAAAAGTGCACAAGTGATATAAGAATGCAGGCTGTGGTGGAAGTTAGTTGGATTTGGGTGCTCTTGAAAAACCCACCCTAACATTAAGGTGAGTGTATGGAATGTATTGTAAATATGTATATCAACCTGAGCTTTTCTTCTTTTTAATTGAAATTGCATCTGAGCTTGCTTAAACTCCACTAGCAATTACACTGCTTTTTCTGAATTTGGAGATGAGTTTGAGAGCACCTAAATTGCCACCATTTCAGGCCGGTGGCAAGACATGCAGCTGTTTGCTTCCCTGCCTGGATCTTCAAATAGTAGCTTTGGTGGAAGTGGTGCACTAGGTACAACAGCAGGTGAATGCCTTGCTGAATGCCGAATACAGAAATGCCTCTGAGAACCTGTCCCTGTTTTACAGTTTAAGATGCCCAGACTCCACATGGTTAAGCATAAATGGTAAAATTGTCAAACTTTCCTGGAGTCCATTGAAAATCACTTGGACTTTGGGTGTTTTTGAAAATGTTGCCCTTAAAGACACCTTTGCAGAATTCAAGTGTCTCATTGTTTCTTCTGTCCTTCATGTTTAAGCTTTCTCTCAATCTCTCCATTAGGAGGGTTGTTTAATTATGAAAACCACATTTGTGCAGTGCCTTGATGAGGTCTGGAGCATCCCTTGATTATTTAATGCAGCCTAAGACTATATAGCTGTTACTCTAAAGTGAAAGGTATGGTTATAGGATTCTGCTGAGAATTTGGGAGGTAAATGTTTAGGTTGTCTCCCTTAAAACCTGCATTGAGCAAACTATGGGTGCCCAAGCTGAAATAAAATGCTGCAACAAAGTCTCTTTGTAGCTTACAACAGAACATGTCATGGGAAGGTGATGGAATAAAGGTTGTGGACCTTGATGCATAGATGTCCATATGGGTCAGGTGTGAGGAACAAGGGTTATGGTGTCTCTTTAATCAAGCAAGGTTTTGGTTTAGGTCTCTGAATGAATGCTGGCCAAAGCATAAGTGTTGCCATTACTATTTCAGCTCCTGGCTCGAATTGAGCGCATGGAAAGGAGGATGCAGCTGGTGAAGAAAGATAATGAGAGAGAGAAACACAGGATTTTTCAAGGGTATGAAACAGAAGAGAAGGCTGAGTCGGAAGCATCTGACAAATTACAGATTGAGTACCAGCAGGATCTCCTGGAGACTTCCCAGACCCTGCCTCCCAAACACTTCTCGTATGGAAGAAATGGAAAGGGACATAAAAGGTACAGAGTTGCTTCACTACCTTGCTTGTAATGCATCAGTGGGGGTGTACATGCATCTTCTGTCAATCACTTCACCTGGAGAACAGGCAACATAGCAACTGTTAACTCCATGCCAAGTCTCCCACACCATTTGATGACTCCTGCAAGAATCTTGGGAGCTTCTTAGCTGAGAGAAACATTCAGATAACAAATACAAAGCATTTTCTATATTATATAATGAAAAAAGGGACATGCCAGGTCTTATGAATAAGGGGTAATTTAATACAGCTCACTTGTGGCTTTGCCCTTCTTAGTTATGTGACTGTTCCTAATTTGAAATAAAAGGCATCCTTGAAATAAAAGGCATCTAGAGCCATCATTCTTGGTTTTCACTGGCTTAGGAGCAACATGAGCAGCATTAATCAAAGAGCCACAACAGTTTGTACCCCAAGGTGAATTTTTGTTGCTTAGTTTGTAATAGTGCTGGAACTATTTGCATCCCTATGGGGGAATGTACTTGTACTATGATAGTGTGTGTGTTGCATTATTCATGATTACAGGAAAGGCGGCTCCAACACATGTGGAGGAGATAGGGGGGTAACATTGTCTAAAAAGAGCCAGAGGTGATAAGTTTAAAAGTCACTTGAGGGTCAGGAGTTACAATCTTACTATTGCTAACCAAAGAAATAGGGTAGGGAATTAATCTGTTTCCATCACTGAGCGATTTGCCTACCTTTTGTCCAAGAGGCTTATGGCTTTGGTGATGCATTAGGTGTAGATGGGAATGCAGCAGTAAGGTGCACTTTCCTTTTATTAAAAGGACACTGGCAATTTGAAAATACTAGTTCTCTCCAAAAAACCTGTCTGCTGTTAGGTAACACTCTTGTCAGCTTGTTTGCTCTGTATTTGACAGGATAAGTTCCCATATTGTCTTGATTAGTGTCACTACCTGTCTTGGACGCAGAGGTGATCATCACATTCTCTTCTAGAACCTGTAGGTTCTTATACTTATCACTGGGAGCCAAGCACTTGGGTTGGGAGGGGAGCAGAAGCATGTTACATAGGAGGTCAGTGGCAGAGCTGGGAATGGAAACTCTTCTGACTACCAGTCTCATGGCCTCACCCTTAAACTACACTGCCTGTCATCACTCACACGTTGTTCTTAAGGGAGCTGTCAGTCATGTTGTTCCTGAGGCCATGGAAGTAGGTATTGTCTAACAGCATCAGCAACAGCAACAAATGACTGAGGGAGCAGGAGGATGTGATAGGAGGAGAAATGTATGTGTCCTTGCTCTAAATGCCAGAGGAACTGGGAAAACCCCCTACAAACTTTTTTTGAAAGAACTGCTCTTTGCAAGTGGAACTATCAAAGACAGATTAGTGAACTTCACAAAAATTTGGAACTATCTTTTAATGTTCATCTGGCAGTGAATTTTTATAGCTGTTGCTATCTCCTCTTCTCCAGTTATCCAAGTCCCTGGAGTCTAGATTGGTTTCCTTTTGTTCATTTGTTTGTCATCTCATTGAGGTTGGGATGTTTTTAATTAAAATAAGAAATTGTTTATGTGGTGGTTGTTCCATGCCCAGAATTCTTTGCGTGTGTGGAGCTGCTTTAGACATGAAAGTATATTACTGCAGCACACCCTACAAAGGGATATCCTTAAAAGAGGACTTGCAGTTTCAGTTGATGTAGTGAGCAACTGTGGGTTGAGAGTGGTAGCCTAGGGAACACGATGCATTAGTCTTCTGAAAAGTGCTTCTTGTTCATTTACCCACCAGTCCCCTTCTGGTACCCTGCCTGTCTGCACTGCTGACCTTTCTCCCTCTTTTAACAGGAAGTCGGCGTTTGGAAGTGCAGAGAGGAAAACTCCAGTTAAAAAGCTGGTGACTGAATTTTCAAAAGTCAAAAGCAAAACTTTGAAGCACTCTCCAATGAAAGAGGAGTCAAGTAGCTCTTTACCTGAAACTGTTTGCAAACGTGAACTGAGGAGCCAAGAGACTCCAGAAAAAACCCGATCTCTAGTGGACACTCCACTAAAACCATCCACCCCCTTGCGAGGTCCCAGTGCCCATCCCAAGGATAAAAGTTTTTCCAGCGATATAGAAGATCTGCCATACCTCTCAACCACAGAAATGTATTTGTGTCGTTGGCATCAGCCTCCCCCATCACCATTGCCGTTACGAGAGCCCTCCCCAAAGAAGGAGGAGACTGTAGCAAGTAAGCTATAAAGAACATGCTCATAGCCAGGTAGTGGTCAGTTTGACGCATCCTTGCGTGCTTGGTATTAAAGGCAGAGTCTTGGCAACAATAAGCGAGTAGTGGCAACAAAAGTCCTCATCTACTGGACAGATGCTCTGCTGGCATGGAAGTATGTGGAATTGCCACAGAGATTCCCTGCACCATTCCCTGAATACTGGTGATATCTGCGAATAACAGAATGCCAGGCGTGGAAAAAGATCAAAAGCCACAGGTGGCTACTGCAAGACAGTGGCACGCTTTTGCAGAGTATTTACATATAAGGCTGCGACTTTTGTTGTGTTAATTATTAGTAAAATCTGTGACAGGCTATAGCAAAAGCGGTGTTCATAGAAAAGCTACCCAGCTTGCTTGGTGCAGACTTACAATAGCTCTACAATAATTTACCAAGTGATGTCCTGGTTGAGGAAGCATGGTCACATGGGAGGTATAGTTTGGAGGGTTGGTGCCCCATCTTTTCTACAGGTGAACATGCCTGGCTGAACTATGTTTCCCATGATTCTATGCATTCTCTCTGAGTGGCAGGTGTCTCCTAAAGCTCATGGAGTTTCTGTGACCAAATTGTAGCCTTACTTACATGTAATCTTGTGAAGGCAAAATAATAGCAATATAACTTGCCTCTCTGAGTATTTCTACATACACTTATATCTAAATCTTCAGATCTTGGCTGCTTCATGAGATAGATGTGTAAAGGGGACTTCATTTTGCCTGCATTAGGAATTCCCCATTTTTAAAAATGTATGGTGGTAGCAAAAACAGAAGTGCTTGAAGACACAAGGCACTGATGACTGCTTGCATCTTACTGGCCATGTTTTTTTAGGCCTTTTATGAGGACCTCTAGACTAGGGATTGGCAATCTATGGCCCATGAGCTGGATCTAGCCTGTGAAGTTTGAATCTGGCCTTTGGTGGATGGGGAGACAGGCAGCACACAGTGGTGGGGGCCACAAAAGGGCTGTCCCCAGATTCTTCTGCCTGCTCTGTGCTGTTTATCCTGGTTGAGTCCTCTGCCACATTCCACCTCTCATCTCTGCAGCCCCAGCCCTACCTGCTTTCTACTGTTGCCACTGAACTTGCCCCTCATCATGGCTATTGGCTGTGAGAATGTGACACTTGATGATGACCATAAGCAGAGGCTGCTGGGTGGGGGGGAGCCTGCATGAGAGCAGAGTTGAGGAGTGGCAGCAGGGGATTGGCAGCCTCAGGTTGTGAGCATTGCAAGATGTGGCCTGCTGTTCATAAAGGTTGCCAGGCCCTTGGGGGCCAACCTTTTTTGCAGGCATGCCACAGATTGGATCCACTCCCTTCCTGAGTGCCAGTCCAGTCCCCTTCCCCCTGTCCCATCTGCTGCTCTGCTCTCTATCCTATGCTGCCTGTCCTATCTGCTGCTCTGCTTTCTGCTTCCTGCCTTATTTGCTATTGTGCTGCTAGCTCCTCCCTGATCTGTGTGGCACACACAGGCTGCTGCTGCCTGTGCCACAGTTTGGGTACCCCTGTTCTAGACACTAAGACACCAGAAGCCAAAAGCTGTAGGAGCCTTGTCTTGTCTGTTCCTCCTCCCACCCCACCATCAGCTCCACCATTATGGCTGGTGGTGGAGCTGAATCTGTGGTAGGAACCTTTTTTATAGAAAAGGCCAGTGTACAGACAGATTGTGACCTCTGACTTTGTCCAAGGTGAGCTCCACTCCTTTCCATCCTGCCCTGGACACGTGCACGCAAAAGGTCTTGCCTTAGCAGATAACTCATTTGTAATAGCTGGGCTGCCAAAAGGAACCTCTGGGTGCAGAAAATAATCTACAAATCCCAAAGCGAATTCTTACATGCCTACCTTACTTCTGCAGAAGATGACTAAAAAGCTACTCAGCTGGGGTGGCTTTGACAGGGGGTTTGAACTAGATGGCTTCCTGAGGGCCCCATCCTATCCTTTTCTCATGTGATTTGAACTGCCCAGAGATGCTTCACCTGCTGCTTAGCAGAAGGACCTAATGTGATACAACCCTTGCATGCTTCACTCTGATAGGTGACACATGTACAGGGCTGTCTTCAGAAATAGGCTATTCTGCTCAGCAAAGCACAGTAGCATAATGATGGGTGGTGATTGAGGCACAAACCTCAGGTATTTTGTTTGGGTAGGGGGAGGGGGAACAGCTGGAATGGAGCTAGAGAGGTGCCTTATCCTTCTCCCTCCATCTCTCTGCACCTCCCTTAGAGTGGCTTTGGCTCTAGCAGCAGGGAAGATAGAAGTAGCAGCAGTGCACAGTGTGGGAGCAGCAGTCGGTGGTTTGCTGTTGCTGGGGGAGATGTCGCCTCCTTTTTTGCTGCTGAAAGCTGGTGTATTTTATTGGCTGCTCAACACATTGGCAGCAAAAATAGGAGGTGACATCATTCCCAGCAACAGCAAACCACCAGCCACTGCTCCTGCAGCATGCACCACTGCCACCCATGGTGTAGTACTGTCCTGTTACATCTCTGGCAAGGAATATGGATAGCAAGGCTTAAACTAGGGTAATTAGAGCAGACAGCTACCCTGTTTTTTGGATGGGGAAGTTTTGTTTTAATGTTAACTCCTTAATTCACCACATGCTTGCCGCTCAGTTAATTCTGAGCTCTAGCAGGTTTTCCTTCGTCCTAGGTGATGTCTCAGCAGTATGCCCTTTGGAAGGGAAAGGTGATCTGTTACTAGAGCGAATATTTGCCCAGACTAGGTTAGTAAGTAAACCAGGAAGTCTAGCTCAGGGTTGGCAGTGACAACAGCTTGGGATCAGACATGCCAGTTTCTGTGGCATCTTCCCCTTCTCTCGTATTACACTAGGAAATAACCAAACGATTGCTAGCTTTGAAGTGACCTTGGAGATCTGAGAAGTGAAAGCTCAGCTTTAAGTTCTATGCTTTTAGCTGTCTCTGCAGTAGTAGTGATTTGAATGAAGCAGGTTCATTGTGGTATATTCTGAGCTTGATTGTTTACATGGTTATTACATATCCGGTCAAATGAAATTGTCAAGCAGCTTCCGATTCATTGTTGAGAAATGTTGTTTCTTACTGAGTTGTTGCTGATATGACTTCCCCCCTCAGAGTTGCAGATGAGTCCTTAAAAATCTGGATGACTTGCCAAAGAGATCTAGCAGGAGAAAGGCTTGCTCTAGGGCTTAAAACTCTACCATGACTTGTTCTTGTCTGATAGTTATGGTGTTCATGTAAATATCCCACAGAATCACTTGAAGCTGAAAACTATTGCCTTTCTAGAATGAGCTATGAATACTAGCGTTGAGATCCATTATTAAATGTGACCCGTGACAATCTACATTGGGAACTGCTCATACCATGGCATAAATACCTTGCCAGTAAACAAGTTGAAAATCCTTTTTCCCCCATTTTCCTATCCACCAGGTTTGGAGTCCAGGTACTGCAGTTCCCTAGCAACAACAGCTCCTAGCAGCAAATTAATAGTAAAAGAATCCTGATTTGTTAAGAGCGAAGGAAGTCTTTGCAAATTACTTTCTTTAATGAGCAAAGGGATATGTTTTGAGATTAGCCACTGGTTTTTTTGCATACTCTAG